CTCAGCCTACCTGTAGCCATGGTCCACGTTGGGCTGTGACCTGGAGCCACTTAGAGAATGGAAAACCCACCCCAAAAGCCCATTTATCAGTGGGCTCATGGTCCCCACAGTGAACAGCATCCACACAGCAGGTCCCCTTCCAGCCCCACATTGCCCTGGTTAGAGGGCCCTGTGGCCCAGTCCCTACATGGGACATCCCAGAAGGCCACAGGGTCCAGTGAGAACTGGTGTGGGAAGGAGATGGGGAACGGGGTCTGGTGGCCACTGTCCCAGTGATGCCCCTGGTGGCACCTGTGGCTGAGGCTCCCCAGCAGCAAAGGGCCCCCAGCCCGTGTTCTGCTCCCTTTGGGAAGACCATAAATAAAGAAGCCCATCTACTTTTGTAAGATAATGGTGTTTTGAGCAGTTTTTAACCCAAGGGTGGCCCAGCCACCTCCATCCCTCTCCCGTTTCACCAGGGGGAGGCCAAGGACCATGGATCCACTCTGCTGGCCTTGCAGGGACACCAGCCCCATGGGACAGCCACCATGGGTGACACAACCCCCTTGTGCCACCAGGTCCCAGCTCTGCTGCTGGAGGGTGGCCCCAGAAGCACCATCAGTACAGGGGTGGACGCACGCTCTAAGGGCCAGGCTGGGGCCACCACCTCAGCTGTGCATGGTGCTGCCTGTGGGTCCTGGACACAGAGCTCGGGGCCCCTGCCTGAGCTCCATGGTGTCTCCCATGCCATACTGAGCTCTCCTGCTGGGAGCAGGTGCCAAATCCCAGCTCAACCACTGGCTGTCTCCCCAGATAAGGGGAAGGAAAAGCCAGTTCTGAGGCCAGAGGTGGCTGCAGAGATGATGTCCCCATGCACGTCCCTGTGCCGAGGCCGGGGGCTGTGATGTGGGGACATCTGAGCTCTGTCCTGGCTGTGACCAAACCGCTGTCCCTGTGTCCCTGCGTGCCCAGGGCTGCCTGTGCCCAGAGGGGCCAGCAGCGAGCCCCGGGGTAGGGAGCAGCAGCTCTGCAGTGTGGATGGGACATCCTCCTGATGGAGCCCTTGTCCCAGCTCCCAGTTCCCTCCCGGAGTGCCCTGTGCCGCTGCGGTGACACCTCCTGCAGAGCTGCTGGCTACCGGGCCGGGATGTGGTGGCCCACGTGGCTTTGGGATCCTGGGGGTCCTCACAGGCTCTATTGGCCACATCCTGCCCCGGGCTCCCAGGAGAGGGCACACTCCACCGGGAGATGGTTGGAGCATTGCTGGTGCAGAAGGAGAAGGTGCTGTGGTGTGAAGGTGAGCGGACACCTCCAGCCCCATGGCCCCAAACCCCCCACCCCACGTGCTGAAGCAGCCTCTGAGCCCTGCTTGCTCTGGCGCTGTCCCCAGGTTCCTGCTGGCCAGGCTGGCGCTGGTGGCATCTGCCACGGTTGGGGCTCTGCTGGCGCAGGCCTTGGGCAATGTCCCTTCCATGCCGAGCTGCAGAGCGTGGGGGGAGCCCTCATCCCCAGGGAGATGAACAGAGGGGGTGAGATGGGTGCAGACCACCAGAGCCTGGTGCAGCGCTGGGGGTGAGCTGGTGCCCCCCTTCCTCCTCCCCACTTAAAAGTGGTTCTCTCTTCTCTAAAGCCTCTCCGCGTGGGGCCATGTGGATGCCACCGCAGGCTGGAGCCTCCGTGACCTTGTCTGGAAGCCACATCACCCTGGTGGCACCTCGTGGTACTGGGAGATGTGGCCACCGTGCATGGTGGCATTGCCCCAGGTCATGGCGCTGGAGAGGGTGGCTTCTGCCTGGAGGGATTTGGGTGCCTGGAGCCACCACTGAAGACCTTGGACATGGTGGCAGCCCCCATGGGACTGGCAGTGGCTGTGGGAGGATGGAGGGGCTCCAGCTAGGACGTGCGGGTGCTGGTGGGGTGATCAGGGACCCCCCCATCCTCAGGTGGAGATCCCCCAGGGGCTGGGACACAGCCAGACCCAAGTGTGTGTCCCCAAGGAGGGGACATGGCCATGGGGTCTCCAAACACCACCCACAACAGCGTCAGCCTTGAAATGGTTTATTAGGACCAGCCCCGGGGCCATCACCGGGTGTGGGATCAGGGGAGGGGGGTTCACAGTTGTGGGTCTCAGCACCCCAAGATCAGGTTCAGTGTCCCCGGGGGGGGGCTCAGTGCGGGGCCGGGGGCTCTCCTGGTGCCCCATAGAGCTTGCGGAGGCTGGAGTCCATCAGGAAGTCCACGGTCCTGTGGCAGGAGAAGGGAAGTGGGGCAGCGGGGGGTGTCCCTGGTTAACTGGCTCTGATGGGGTGGCTGGGGTGGTCCCTAATCCCAGGAGCATTCCAGGTGTCACCAAAACCAGGCTTAGGGCCGTGCTCCTAGTCATCCCTGTGGGGCTGGACACCCCTTTGGGGCGAGGACCCCCCCTCGATCACCCCATGCTTCCCCCACTCAGTTCCAAGGCCACACTGGGACCAGTTCCCCTGGGATGAGGAGCGCTCCATCCCATGGGTGAACCCCTTACCTGTCGATGGGGGTGATGATGACGGGGATGGTGGCCAGCCCCAGGGCGGTGGTGGCCCAGCGGCGCAGGGGCAGCGGCCAGCGGGTGAGGGTGCCCAGCAGGGCCAGCGAGGCGGCGCAGAGCCGGTTGATGGTGAAGCCGGGGATGGCCACTGAGGCCAGGCTCTGCCAGATGAACGTGTCCACCACGGCCACCCCGACCCGCGTGGCCTGCGCTGGGTCCTGCACGTGTGCCTGGGGGGAAACGAGGGGGGGTCAGGGTGTGGGGATGGAGCAATGGGGGGTGCTGGTGGGGGGGTGACACTCACGGTGGCAGCTCTGCGGCCCTTGTCGATGGCATCGGCGGTCACGTACGCGGTGGCCACGCCGTAGCTGGCCCACACCACCGGCACCGGCACCAGCGGGCGGAAGGATTCACCCACCTCGTTGGCATAACCTGGGGGGCAGCAGGGGGTCAGTGGGGACCAGGAATCCCCCGGGGTGTTCTGTGCCCACTGGGAGCAGTGAGGACCCACACGGAGGGGTCAGAGCAGATGGGTCACCCTGCACCCCGCGGCTGTCGGTGACCAGCACCGGTGCCGGTGCGTGTGCCCAGTTCCCAGGGGCAGTGCGGATGACGGCACGTGCTGCTGGTGCACAGTGCCAGGACCAGTGATGGTGACTGCTGTGCAGTGGCAGTGCCCAGTGCCCGGTGTGCGGTGCTGGTACCCAGTATTGGTGCCGGTGTGCGATGCTGTTACCCAGTGTGGTGTGACACCGGTACCCAGTGTCAGTGCCCGGGGTGCGATGCTGTTATCCAGTGTGGTGTGACACCGGTACCCAGCTTCAGTGCCCGGGATGTGATGCTGTTACCCAGTGTGGTGTGACACCGGTACCCAGCGTCAGTGCCCGGGATGTGATGCTGTTACCCAGTGTGGTGTGACACCGGTACCCAGCGTCAGTGCCCGGGATGTGATGCTGTTACCCAGTGTGGTGTGACACCGGTACCCAGCGTCAGTGCCCGGTGTGCGATGCTGTTACCCAGTGTGTTGTGACACCGGTACCCAGCGTCAGTGCCCGGTGTGCGATGCTGTTACCCAGTGTGTTGTGACACCGGTACCCAGCGTCAGTGCCCGGGATGCGATGCTGTTACCCAGTGTGGTGTGACACCGGTACCCAGCGTCAGTGCCCAGTGTGCGATGCTGTTATCCAGTGTCAGCATCCAAGGGCAAGTGTCAGCACTGGCTGCACAGTGCTGGTGTCCGACACAACGCAGCGCGTGGCGCTGGTGTCTGGTACCCGGTGCCTGCTGCGTGTGCCCAAGGACAAGTGTCCGTGCCCGGCGCCGGTACCCGGTGCGGTGTGCAGAAACCAGCGCCGGGTCTCAGTGCCCGGCACCTGCTAACACAGCGCTGGTGCCTGATGCAACCGTGCTGCCTGACACAGCTCCCGGTGTCAGTGCCTGAGGACAAGCACGGTGCCGGTACCCGGTGCATGCGCAGTGCCCGGTGCCGGTGCCCGCCCCAATGTGGTGCCCCCGTGCCAAGTGCCCGGTGTCACGTGCCCGGTGTCACGTGCCCGCCGCGGTGCTCACCCAAGTACCGGACCCACGTGTCCCGGTAAAGGTCGGGCTCCGCCGCCCCCATGGCGCGCGCTCTCCCGCTCCCGCCGCTGCACGAGCCCGCCCCGCCCCTCCGGGGATACGTCACCAGGCCCCGCCCCCCGGGCCCGCCCCCCCCCGGGGGCACGCGAGGGGCAGGGCATCGCGGGGCTGCGGAGGAGTTAATAGTCACGTGACGTCCCGCGGCGGTCACATGGGTGTGATATGAGGGTGGTGGCAACGTGGAGTAGTTATGGGGCGCGGGGCGGGGGCCGCAGGATCTGGTTATGGGGCTGGGGGGAGGGCAGCAGGGTCCGGTTATGGGGCTGGGGGGGGGGGGCCAGCAGGGTCCGGTTATGGGGCTGGAGGGGGGGGGGCAGCAGAGTCCGGTTATAGGGCTTGGGGGGGGGGGGGGGGCAGCAGGGTTTTGTTATGGGGCTGGGGGGCAGCAGGGTTTTGTTACGGGGCTGACGGAGGCAGCAGGGTTTTGTTATGGGGCTGGGGGGGGGCAGCAGGGTCTGGTTATGGGGCTGGGGGAGGCAGCAGGGTTTTGTTGTGGGGCTGGGGGGGGGGGGGTCAGCAGTGTCCGGTTATAGGGCTGGGGGCGGGGGGGCAGCAGGGTCCGGTTATGGGGCTGGGGGGGGCAGCAGGGTTTTGTTATGGGGCTGGGGGGAGGGGCAGCAGGGTCTGGTTATGGGGCTGGGGGGGGGCAGCAGGGTCTGGTTATGGGGCTGGGGGAAGCAGCAGGGTCTGGTTATGGGGCTGGGGGAGGCAGCAGGGTTTTGTTGTGGGGCTGGGTGACAATAACCAGAGGTGACCCAGCTCCATCCGTCCCTTTACTCCCCCCACCCCACGCAGCAGTGGGGACCCAGGACCCCCCTAAGGCACAGTTGGGGGCTCCCGCCCCTCCAGCCCCTCCTCGGTCCGTGCGCTCTGGGGCCTCAGCCCCATCTCCATCCTGGCGCGGCTGCGGCCGTCCTGGGGGCTCCGGCAGCCGGGACGGGGTGTGCAGCGCTAGGGGCTGTGGTTGAGGCTCTCCGCGCTGGGCCGGTCCCCGAGGCGCTGGATCTGCTGCGCGGCGGCGGCGTCCGGCAGCAGCACCTCCACGCTGTAGCTCACCCGCTTGGCATGGAGGTAGCTGTAGGTGTTGTCGAAGCGCAGCACGTCTGCGGCGGGGCGGGAACCGGGGGGTCAGCGCCGGGGGGAGCAGCCCGGGGTGTCCCCAGGGGCTGGGGGGGGGGGGGATGCGCTCACAGATGCCGGGGGTGGAGCAGGTCAGGGACCCGTCCTCGGGCACCAGGTGGGAGTTGTAGCGCTGGTTGGGGTACACCTCGGTCATGGCGCCCGCGCGCTGCCGCTCCCCAGCCTTGGTCTTCAGGTACACCCCGAACCCCACGTCAGCGCCCTCTGTCCGGAACTGCCACCTGTGCCGTGGGGTGGGGACACCCCCAGTGCACTGTGTCACCCCCAGTGCCTTGTATCCCCTCCATTGCACTGTGTCACCCCCAGTGCCTTGTATCCCCTCTATTGCACTGTGTCACCCCCAGTGCCTTGTATCCCCTCTATTGCACTGTGTCACCCCCAGTGCCTTGTATCCCCTCTATTGCACTGTGTCACCCCCAGTGCCTTGTATCCCCTCCATTGCACTGTGTCACCCCCAGTGCCTTGTATCCCCTCCATTGCACTGTGTCATCCCAGTGCCTTGTGTCTCCTCCATTGCACTGTGTCACCCCCAGTGCCTTGTATCCCCTCTATTGCACTGTGTCACCCCCAGTGCCTTGTGTCTCCTCCATTGCACTGTCACCCCCAGTGCCTTGTATCCCCCCTATTGCACTGTGTCACCCCCAGTGCCTTGTATCCCCTCCATTGCACTGTGTCACCCCCAGTGCCTTGTGTCTCCTCCATTGCACTGTGTCACCCCCAGTGCCTTGTATCCCCCCTATTGCACTGTGTCACCCCCAGTGCCTTGTATCCCCTCCATTGCACTGTGTCATCCCAGTGCCTTGTGTCTCCTCCATTGCACTGTGTCACCCCCAGTGCCTTGTATCCCCTCCATTGCACTGTGTCACCCCCAGTGCCTTGTATCCCCTCTATTGCACTGTGTCACCCCCAGTGCCTTGTATCCCCTCTATTGCACTGTGTCACCCCCAGTGCCTTGTATCCCCCCTATTGCACTGTGTCACCCCCAGTGCCTTGTGTCTCCTCCATTGCACTGTGTCACCCCCAGTGCCTTGTATCCCCTCTATTGCACTGTGTCACCCCCAGTGCCTTGTGTCTCCTACATTGCACTGTGTCACCCCCAGTGCCTTGTGTCTCCTCCATTGCACTGTGTCACCCCCAGTGCCCTGTATCCCCCCTATTGCACTGTCACCCCCAGTGCCTTGTGTCTCCTCCATTGCACTGTGTCACCCCCAGTGCCTTGTATCCCCTCTATTGCACTGTGTCACCCCCAGTGCCTTGTGTCTCCTCCATTGCACTGTGTCACCCCCAGTGCCTTGTATCCCCTCTATTGCACTGTGTCACCCCAGTGCCTTGTATCCCCTCTATTGCACTGTCACCCCAGTGCCTTGTATCTCCCTCCCATTGCACTGTGTCACCCTCAGTGCCTTGTATCCCCTCTATTGCACTGTGTCACCCCCAGTGCCTTGTATCCCCTCCATTGCACTGTGTCATCCCAGTGCCTTGTGTCTCCTCCATTGCACTGTGTCACCCCCAGTGCCTTGTATCCCCTCTATTGCACTGTGTCACCCCCAGTGCCTTGTGTCTCCTCCATTGCACTGTGTCACCCCCAGTTTCTTGTATCCCCTCTATTGCACTGTGTCACCCCAGTGCCTTGTATCCCCTCTATTGCACTGTCACCCCAGTGCCTTGTATCTCCTCCATTGCACTGTGTCACCCCCAGTGCCTTGTATCCCCTCTATTGCACTGTGTCACCCCCAGTGCCTTGTATCCCCTCCATTGCACTGTGTCATCCCAGTGCCTTGTGTCTCCTCCATTGCACTGTGTCACCCCCAGTGCCTTGTATCCCCTCTATTGCACTGTGTCCCCCCATCCCTCTGTGTCCCCTCCATCACATTGTATCCCTCCATTGCCTTGTGTCCCTTTCCATTGTGCTGTCACCTCCATTGCTTTGTGTCCCTGTCGTGTTGTGTCCCCTCCATTGCATTGTGTCACCCCTATCGCTGTGTCCTCCCATTCCTGTGTCCCCTCCATCACATTATGTCCCTTCATTGCCCTGTGTCCCCTCCATTACGCTGTCATCTCCATTGCCTTGTGTCCCCTCCATCTCATTGTGTTGCCCCCATCACTCTGTGTCCTCCCATGCCTCTGTGTCCCCTCCATCACATTATGTCCCTTCATTGCCTTGTGTCCCCTTCATTGCTTTGTGTCACCCCCATTCCCATCCATCACATTGCATCTCCCTGATTGCCTTGTGTCCCCTCCATCACACTGTGTCCCCCCCATCGCACTGTGTCCCCTCCATCACACTGTGTCCCCCCCATCGCACTGTGTCCCCTCCATCGCACTGTGTCCCCCCCATCGCATTGTGTGCCCCCTATTACGCTGTGTCCCCCCCATCACGTTCATCCCCTCACTGTGTTGTGTCCCCCCCATCCCCGTGGGGTGCAGCCCCCTCCTCACCTGAGGACGCAGCCCGGGAAGAGGATCTCGTACTCGACCTGGTGGGACGAGCCGCGGTTCACCACCACGCTGTGCTCGTACTGCTGCGCCAGCTGGTCCCGCACGTAGTACTGCTGCGGCACGTCCCCCCCGTAGTTGATCTGCACAGGGCGTGGAGATGGATGTGGGTATGGGGGGACCCTGCACCCCCCTCAGGAACCCACGGGTGCGCTGGGGCTTCTCCAACCTTGCTCGAGCACTTGGGGTCCCCATCGGGGTCCGTGAGGGTGCCCCCGTACTCCACCGGGATCTGCTCGGGGTCAATGTGCTTCTGCAGGGACCTCCTTCCAGTTGGCTGCAGGGAGGAGGACTCGGTGCTTGGGGGCACAGGAGCGCCGTGGGGAGCCCCAACGCAGCCACGGTCCCCCCCCCCCCGGGTGAATGGGAGGCAGGGGAGGACGTGGGGACCCGTTCTGAGGGCTCCGGACTCACATCCCAGCACCACGACCTTCCTGCGGGTGTCCTCGCTCAGGAAGTGCTTGACCAGGTTGTAGGCGACGGGGAAGATCTTGGGGGCTGGGGGTGGATGGGGGTGTTATGGGGGGTCAGCACCCCCCGGTGGGAGGAGGGCCCCCGTGGCCGGACTCACCCTTCACAATGAACAGGCGCTTGAGGGACTCGGGGTAATTCTCCTCGAACATGGACAGGAGCTGCGGGATGGGGAGAGCTCCATCGCCCCCATCCACGCACCCCCCACCACGGGCAGGGACCCCCACCCCAAAACGCTCATGGGGTACAGGGCACAACAGGGACCTGCTCCTGCACCACGGTCCCGGTGTCGCTGTCGCAGCCTCACCTCCCCGTAGGTGTCCACCGCTGGCTTCCAGAGGTGCTTCAAGCCCAGGCCCTCGCAGTCGTACACCATCAGCACCGTCTCGACCTTCCTGCCCAGCTGGGATGGGGTGGGGGGGGGTCAGGCCGTGCCCAGCCCCAACGATGGGGCTGGAACCCCCTGGGCAGAGCCTCCTGCGGGTGTTGGTGTGGGGAGAAGGGGCACTGGGTGGTGGGCATGGAGTGGGCATGGGTTTGTGGGGCTGGAGAGGACATTGAATGGTGGGGATGGGTGAGAGATGGACTTACAGAGCTGGCAGGGACATGGTCTGCGGCAGGAGGGACAGGACGTGGACTTGTGGGGCTGGCAGGAACAGACTGGTGGGGATGGACGGGGCATGGAGGGGTGGGGAGGAGGCTGGGTGGTGGGCTGGACCAGACGTGGGTTTGTGGGGCTGGCCCCACCTTCCTGCTCTGCTCCTCGCACTCGCGCCGCAGCAGCTCGCAGTCACGGAACTTGTTCTTGAGCAGGTCCTGCTTGGAGGCAGAGAGCAGCAGCCCCCGCGCGTCCAGCGGCCCGATGATGTCGTACCAGATGGGGCTGCCCTCCCGGTCGTAGCCGCACATCCCACCCGACATGTACCTGCGGATCACCTGCGCAGCGCCGCCGTCAGGGCCGCCCCGTGGGGATGGGACCCCCGGGGCACCCCCCGGGGCCGGGGACACCCACCTCGGGGGCCTCCCACGACACGATGTTGTCGGCGTCCATGTGCTTGCGGAACTCAAGGTGCTGCGGGGTGGGGGGCAGAGATGAGAGGATCTGGGGACCCCCAGCCCATGGGATGGGGTGCACCCTGCGGGCAGGTCTGAGAACGGAGCCATCCCAGTGACAAATGGGAGGCTGGTGGTGGCATGGGGGGGTCTCTCTTACCTTGCGGAGCATCGCCTCAGCCTTGGGCACGTCGAAGGAGCGTGCTGCAGGACAGCAAAGAGCTCAGCTCCAACGGGTGCTGCAGCCCGGTTCCATCACCCCCAACACGTGTCCCCAGCTCCATCACCCCCAACATGTGTCCCTGGCTCCATCACCCCCAATGCATGTCCCTGGCTCCATCAGCCCCAATCCATGTCCCCAGCTCTATCACCCAAAACGCATGTCCCCAGCTCCATCACCCCCAACACGTGTCCCCGGCTCCATCACCCCCAACACATGTTCCCGGCTCTATCACACCCAATACGTGTTCCCAGCTCCATCACTCCCAATACGTGTTCCGGCTCCATCACCCCATATGTCCCTGGCTTCATCACCCCTCAACACATGTTCCTGGCTCCATCACCCCAATGTGTGTCCCTGGCTCTGTCACCCCCAACACGTGTCTCTGGCTCCATCACCCCCAATGTGTGTTCCCGGCTCCATCACCCCCAATGCATGTCCCTGCCTCCATCAGCCCCAATGCATGTCCCTGCCTCCATCACCCTCAGTGCGTGTCCCCCACCCTGGGGTCACCTCGGAGCCATTTGAGGAGGAAATAGTCATCCTGTGCGGGCAGCGAGGGCAGCACATCCTGCAGGTTCTCCCGGAACTGCCAGCGGAAGAGGGGCTGTTGGAGGGGCCATGATCCCACCCGGAAACCCCAGAGCTGCTGCTTTGTGCCCCAGAAGGGCAGGGGCACCCACACCTTGTGCCTGCCACTGTGCATGCTGGGCCCAAGCACTCAGTGTCCCCGAGCTGGTCCCCTTGTGCGGGGCTGCAGGGACCATGGAATCCCAGCCTGGTTTGTGTTGGAAGGGACCTTAAAGCTCCTCCTGCCCCAACTCCCACGGGCAGGGACACCTTCCACTGGAGCAGCTTGCTCCAAGCCCCTGTGTCCAACCTGGCCTTGAACACTGCCAGGGATGGGGCAGCCACAGCTTCTCTGGGCACCCTGTGCCAGCGCCTCAGCACCCTCACAGGGAAGAGCTTCTGCCTCAGAGCTCAGCTCAGTCTCCCCTCTGGCAGGTTAAAGCCATTCCCCTTGGCCTGTCCCTGCAGGCCCTTGTCCCAAGCCCCTCTCCAGGTTTCCTGGCCCTCTCCACCAGACCGTTCCCCACCACCGCTGCCATCCTTTGGGATGGCGCCGCTCCAGTGACACCCTGCAGGTCCCAGCCGGGTGCAGGTCCCTGTGGCACATGGTCCCCGTACCAGGCCAGGACCTGCCCTTAATGAGGCCGATGGGATTATCTGCCGCTGAATTTAGGTGTAATTAAGCCCGGGATTAGCTCCTTCACCCTGAGAACAACAAGGTGCTCATGGACGGGTTCCGCAGCTCCGCTTTCCCCCACCCGCCAGCACCGGGACGGTTTCGGCTCCGTTCCCCATCCCGGCCCCTGCTCCCGGCGGGGTCATCCTGGGCTCGGGTGGGCCAAGAGCAGCGACAGGATAAAGTCCCGGCGCGGTGGGAGCAGTGACCCCGCGGGAAGCCACCCGGGCACGGCGCCGGTGATCGCGGTGCCAGCCCCGAGGCCAGCGCGGTGGCTGACGGCCACCGGTCACCCGGAGCCCCGCGGCGGGGCAGGAGATGCCCCGGGCAGCGGCGGGGCCAGCGGGAGCGATGGGGATGGATGGGGAGGGATGGGGCGGGGGGGGGCTCGGGGCCGCGGTCCGCTCTGGGATGGCGCAGCCGGGACGGGACCGGGCAGCACCGCGGGGGATGCCGGGCTCACCGGGGCCGCTCCCCGCTCACCTGCGCCAGCGCCTCCGCCTGCCGCGGGCTCAGGTCCCCGACGCGGCCGCTCATGGTGCCCGGCCCCGGGGGGGCTCGCGCAGCCTCTACCGGGCCCCGGCGCCGGCGGCCGCTTGCGGAGGCTCCGGAGCGCCGCCCCCAGCCCGCCCCGCCCCGGCCCGGCCCAGCCCGGCCCCGCGGCCTTGGACCCTGCCCGGGCAGCGACGGGGCACGGGGGTACGGGAGGGGATAGGGGGGTGTGGGGGGGGGATGGAGGGATGGGGGCTGCGGGGGATACGGGGGTACGGGGATATGGGGGGCACGGGTGGGGGATGGAGGGGTGTGGGGATACGGGGTTATGGGGCTTAGGAGGGGATAGGGGTATGGAGAGGATGGGGGGGCACAGGGGGATGGGGCTAAGGGGGCCGTGTGTCACGCATGGCCCCATGGATGTACCATGAAGCCATGCATGTCCCTCGGAGCTGTGTCTACCCCATGGACCCATGCATGTCCCACAGAGCCATCTGTGTCCCTTGGACCCATGCATGTCCCACAGAGCCATCTGTGTCCCTTGGACCCATGCATGTCCCACAGAGCCATCTGTGTCCCTTGGACCCGTGCATGTCCCACAGAGCCATCTGTGTCCCTTGGACCCGTGCATGTCCCACAGAGCCATCTGTGTCCCTTGGACCCATGCATGTCCCACAGAGCCATCTGTCCCTTGGACCCATGCATGTCCCACAGAGCCATCTGTGTCCCTTGGACCCATGCATGTCCCACAGAGCCATCTGTGTCCCTTGGACCCATGCATGTCCCACAGAGCCATCTGTCCCTTGGACCCATGCATGTCCCACAGAGCCATCTGTGTCCCTTGGACCCATGCATGTCCCACAGAGCCATCTGTGTCCCTTGGACCCATGCATGTCCCACAGAGCCATCTGTGTCCCTTGGACCCATGCATGTCCCATGGCACCGTCTGCGTCCCTCTGAGTTGTGACTGCCCCATGGAGCCATCCATATCCCATGAACCCATGGATACTCCACAGCTCCATTCCCACCCCACGCGTGTCCCACCACACAGGTCCCATGTGTGTGTCCCTTCCATGGGGCCATGCTCACAGCTGTGGTGCCCCATGTTCCCATTTTGGGTATCCCACTTTGGGAGCCACCTTTCCCGGCCCAGCTCCAGAGCTGGACATGTTTCCGGGCTGTTGTTTACAGCAGAGCCAAGCAATGGGAATGTTTTGCCGTGCTGTTAAACCGGCTCCTGTGCTGAGATTAAGCCTCCATCATTGCAACACGGTTGGGAGCACCGGGAATACCAGGTCACACCCAGACCCGTCCTGCTGGGAATGCCACCACACCATGGCCGCTGCGCCCGGCTGGCCCGTGGGTAATCCCCTGGGAATCCAGTTCCGGCACATGTGCCGGGCACACATGGCTGCAGAGGGGCCACCGCGGCGGCACTGCTGGCACTGCTGGCACAGGGACCATGGACGGGTGTCAGGGGGGGTTTGGGGTACTCGGGTGTTGGGGTGAGCCCAGGCCAGGACTTGGGGCGCTCCACATGTGTGTGGGGCTGTGCGTGTCCCTGTGCACGCGTGTCCTCGTGTGGCCCCACGTGTCCTCATGGGCCCCACAGGGAAGCGGGGCTGTGGGGCCATGGGGGCCACATCCCCCAGCGTGGCACCATCCCTCCCCCTGTCCCTCTCCTGGTGCCCATCCCAGTCCCTGTCCCTCTCCCCGTGCCTGTCCCGGTCCCAGTTAGGGATGGGGCAGTTCCCAGTCCTGGTGCCTGCTCCTATCTGTATTCCTGTCCATGTTTTTTTCCCTCTCCCGCTCCCCATCCCCGGTTCCTGCCCCTATCCCGTTCCTTTATCCTGGTCCCTTTTATCCGAGTACTCTTATCCCGGTACCAAATCGGCCCCTTTTATCCTTGCCACCCCGCTCCTTTTTATCCCCGTCCCCATCCCTGGTCCCTTACCCCGGCCCCGGCCTCAGCCCCACTCCCGGTTTCGCTCTCGGGCGCCCCCCGGCGGCGCTCGGCGCCCGCGGTCCTCCGCGGCGGCAGGGGGCGCTGCGGGGCGGTGCGCGGCAGGGCGATGGCGGCGGTGCGGGCCGCGCTGCTGGCGCCGCTGCTGGCGCTGTGCCGGGCCGGGCCGGGGCCTGCGCCCGCCGCCCGGGTGGAGGTGGCGGTGACCGGGCCGGGGCCGGGGCAGGGCCCGGGGGATGGCGGCGGCAGCGCGGCCGCGGGGCCCGGAGGCTCCTACACACTGCGCGGTGCCGTGCTGGGAGCGGGGGGGCCGCGGGACGAGGAGGAGCAGGAGGAGATCCGCGGGCGGCTGCTGCTGGTGAGCACCGGGACACGGGCACCGGGGCACCGGGGAGACCGGGAACAGGGGGATAGGGAGCTGGGCGGCAGGGAATGGGGCACCGGGAACCGGGAGGATCTGGGCACGGGAGGGCTGTGTGTGCAGTGGGCACTGGGGGCTGTGTGTGCAGTGGGCACTGGGGGGGCTGTGTGTGCAGTGGGCACTGGGGGGCTGTGTGTGCAGTGGGCACTGGGGGGCTGTGTGTGCAGTGGGACCTGGGGGACTGTGTGTGCAGTGGGCACGGGGGCTGTGTGTGCAGTGGGCACTGGGGGCCTGTTTGTGCATTGGGCACTGGGGGGCTGTGTGTGCAGTGGGCACTGGGGGAGCTGTGTGTGCAGTGGGAACTGGGGGCTATGTGTGCTGTAGGAATTGGGGGCTGTGTGTGCAGGGAGCACTGGGGGCTGTGTGTGCAGTGGGCATTGGGGGCTGTGTGTGCAGTGGGCATTGGGGGCTGTGTGTGCAGTGGGCACTGGGGGCTGTGTATGCAGTGGGCACTGGGGGCTGTGTGTGCATTGGGCACTGGGGGGCTGTGTGTGCAGTGGGCACTGGGGGCTGTGTGTGCAGTGGGCACTGGGGGGCTGTGTGTGCAGTGGGAACTGGGGGCTATGTGTGCTGTAGGAATTGGGGGCTGTGTGTGCAGGGAGCACTGGGGGGCTGTGTGTGCAGTGGGCCCTGGGGGCTGTGTGTGCAGTGGGCACTGGGGGGCTGTGTGTGCAGTGGGAACTGGGGGCTATGTGTGCTGTAGGAATTGGGGGCTGTGTGTGCAGGGAGCACTGGGGGGGCTGTGTGTGCAGTGGGCACTGGGGGCTGTGTGTGCAGTGGGCATTGGGGGCTGTGTGTGCAGTGGGCACTGGGGGCTGTGTATGCAGTGGGCACTGGGGGCTGTGTGTGCATTGGGCACTGGGGGGCTGTGTGTGCAGTGGGCCCTGGGGGCTGTGTGTGCAGTGGGCACTGAGGGCTGTTTGTGCAGGGAGCACTGGGGGGCTGTGTGTGCAGTGGGCACTGGGGGGGCTGTGTGTGCAGTGGGCACTGGGGGCTGTGTGTGCAGTGGGCCCTGGGGGCTGTGTGTGCAGTGGGCACTGGGGGCTGTGTATGCAGTGGGCACTGGGGGCTGTGTGTGCATTGGGCACTGGGGGGCTGTGTGTGCAGTGGGCCCTGGGGGCTGTGTGTGCAGTGGGCACTGAGGGCTGTTTGTGCAGGGAGCACTGGGGGGCTGTGTGTGCAGTGGGCACTGGGGGGGCTGTGTGGGCAGTGGGCATTGGGGGGGCTGTGTGTGCAGTGGGCACTGGGGGCTGTGTGTGCAGTGGCCATTGGGGGGGCTGTGTGTGCAGTGGGCACTGGGGGCTGTGTTTGCAGGGAGCACTGGGGGGGGGGGCCGGGGACAGGTCCTGTTGCCCCTGTGCCACCGCAGCCGCTGCCCCGGCAGTGCCGTACGGGTGCCAGGGGCTGGTGCTGTGCTCCCTGCTGCAGGTGGGGGACGCGGAGCCCGAGCTGGGCGCTGCCGGCAGCTGGATCGGGGTGGTGCCGGTGGGCGAGGAGCCGGCGGAGCTGCCCCGCGGCGCCCGCGAGGAGTCCTTCACCACCGCCGTCGTCAGCAAGGTGCGAGCGCACGGGGCACCGCCGGTGTCTGCTCCGCATCGCATGGGGGGTCCCGGCCGTCGGGGGGTCCCTGGTAGCGCTCCCGGGTCGCCTCTCGTGGGTCCCGTGTGATGCTTCTCCAGGGCAGGGAGGCGCTGGGTGCTGCCTGCAGCGGGATGAGAGGCAGGGGGAGGCCGCTGCCCGTCCTGCCTGTGCTGCCCTCTGAGCCCCTGTCCTGTCCCCACAGATGAAGCGAGCCCTGGTTCTGGGGGCCTCGGCCCTGCTCATCCTGGCACTGAACCAGAATGCCATCCGGGAGGTAGGGACGTCCTGCCCGCAGCTCCCCGCGCCGGCCTCACGCCCTGCTCACGGCTCTTGCTTCCCTCTGTGCTTGCAGCTGGACGTGTCCCAGCTTCTTGCTAAGCCCGTGATCGTGATCCAGTCCTCGGACAACGTCACCAGGCTGCTGGGAGCGCTGCTGCGGTATGGCTGGGGTCGTGGGGCTGTGCCCTGCTCCCTGCCTGGCCAGGCCGACCGGGGGTCCTCATGCACAGCACATGGGCTGGGGGCGAGCTGGAGCAGCGCAGAGCCCACATGGCGGGTTACCAGCAGCCCTGGTGCTGTCAGTGCTCGTCCCCACCACTGCAGTGATGGGACCCCTCGGTCCTTCCTACACGTGGTCAGTGGGGATCGCTGCTGTGGTGTCATGGGGGGAAACTGAGGCAGGGCACTGGGGGGAAGAGGTTGTGCGGGGTTGCTCAGGGCTGGGCAGGGGCAGTCCCCTGGGTCCCTGGGAATGGGGGGGAGATGCTCCCAGTGCTGGGGTGCTGCAGTCGGATCCTGCTGTGCCCATGGGATTGACTCTTCCTGCCTTTTGCTCACAGGGGGCTCCGGGCAACAGCCAAGATCACGTACCAGGCGGTGCTGCTGGAGAATCTGGTATGTTGGTCTGCCTTCCTCCTCCTCCTCCTCCTCCTCCCCTCTGCTGGTGGGAGGGCAGGGACTTCCCCCACCGATGTGCTCCTCCTCCCCTCCATGCACCCAGCACCGGCAATGCCATCTCCTGCCTTGCAGGGAGTCACCCTCACGCTGTGGTCAACCTGCGGCCTCTCCCGAGGGGGCCTCTACGGGGAATGGCAGGGGGTCATCTGCACCGGGGAGAACAGCTCACAGGTCCAGGTACAGCTCCGGCACCGGGGAGGGTTCCTCCTGTAACCGGTTACTGCTGTGGGGCAGTGGCAGTGGTGGGGTTGGGAGTGGAGGGAACCTGCTCGTGTGCTGGGCTGCACCCCCAGAGCGTGAGCAGCAGCTCAGGGAAGGGATCCTGCCCCTCTGCTGTGCTCTGGGGAGACCCCCCTGTAGCCCTGATCCAGCTCTGGGGCAGCAGCACAAGAGGGACGTGGAGCTGTTGGAGCGAGTGCAGAGGAGGCCACGGAGCTGCTGTGAGGGCTGGAGCAGCTCTGCTCTGGAGCCAGGCTGAGAGAGCTGGGCTGGGTCAGCCTGGAGAAGAGAAGGCTCCTGAAGGGGAGACCTGAGAGCAGCTCCAGTGCCTGAAGGGGCTGCAGGAAAGCTGGAGAGGGGCTTGGGACAAGGGATGTAGGGACAGGCCAAGGGGAATGGCTTGAACCTGCCAGAGGGGAGACTGAGCTGAGTTCTGAGGCAGAAGCTCTTCCCTGTGAGGGTGCTGAGGCGCTGGCACAGGGTGCCCAGAGAAGCTGTGGCTGCCCCATCCCTGGCAGTGTTCAAGGCCAGGTTGGACACAGGGGCTTGGAGCAAGCTGCTCTAGTGGAAGGTGTCCCTGCCCGTGGCAGGAGTTGGGGCTGGGTGAGCTTTAAAGTCCCTTCAAACCAAACCATTCCATGATTCCATGTTTCGCTCCCTGGTGCTGTCCCTGCAGAAGTACCTGCAGCAGCTCTGGAACACCATCCTGCTCATCGCCCTGCTCCTCTGCACTGGTGTGATCGTGCAGGCCCAGCGGCAGTCACGGCAGGACCTGTCGGAGCAGGATGCTGAGGTTGGGGATGTCTCCGCACTCTGCTCCTCCCCGGGGTGATGCGTGCCTGGCTCTGACCCTCTGCTGTCCCCGCAGCTGGACCTCAAGCAGCTCATCCACCGGCGGCTCTCAGCGCTGAAAACACGGCGCTACCACCCCGGCAAAGCGCTGCGGAGCCGCACCTGCGAGATCGATAGCTGTGCCGTGTGCTTGGACCAGTTCCACAAGAGCCAGGTGGGCACTGGGAGCCTGGAGCCCGCTCTGGGGCTGCCTGTGCTCCTGCCATCCCTGGTGCTGGGGCTGCCCCTGCTTGCCGGGGCCCAGCTGCGCTCACGTCCGTGTCCCTCCCCGCAGTGGCTGCGGGTGCTGCCGTGCTGCCACGAGTTCCACCGGGACTGCGTGGACCCCTGGCTCCTGCTGCAGCAGACCTGCCCCCTCTGCAAGCGCAACATCCTGGGTGAGAGCCCACCGCCACCACGGGGGTGAGGGCTGGGGGGGAACCAGAGTCCCCCAAGCTCCCCATGCCATCCCCTCCATCCTCCTGCCTTGCAGGGAACTGCTGCCCGGAGAGCTAGCTGGCCTGGTGGCAGGGCTCCAGGGATGGACCCATGGGTGCTCCGGGGAAGGGCAGGGGGTGCTTGGGCAGCAGCCCTCGCTGCTGGTATGGGCTCAGCACCCATCACACCCCGAAGGAGGATCCTGGGGGGCTCTCCTGAATGAGCATGAGTAGAGGGGTGGGGGGGGGTTCCAGTGTGGGGAGGGCGGGGAGTGGGTGTTGGGAAGGGAATAGGGGCACCCATGGGTGCAGCAGGGTGGGGGGGTGCAGAGGCTGGGCTGTGCTCTCCCTGCTCGTAGTCACTTTTATAGGTCTTTTTGTTTTCTATTCACGGGTGCCTGCGGTGGGGTGGCCCCTGCATGGTGGGGTGCTGGGTGCCAGCTCTGCGGGGTGCCAGCTCTGCTGGGGGCCTCACCACTGAGGGCAGGGCCAATGCTTTATTTATACTAACTTATTATGAGGGAGGGCACGAAGTGGCTGCAGGGACCCCATGTGGGGCCTGTGTCACCGGACCCGGCTGTGCCGCAGGGGCTGGCACTCACTGGTCTCTATTAAACAGGAAGTGAAGACAGGCTGCTGTGTCTTGTGTTGAACTACCAGGTTCCTGATGCCCTCCCAGGGCTGCTCAGGGGTCCCCGGCCCCTCTGGGTGCTGGTGGGTGCCGGCAGCATAGGGAGAGCTGCTTCCATGGGTTGAGGGGCTCAGTCTCCTCTCACCCCCAGCCTTCCTCTTCCAGGCAGCTTGGCCAGTCCCAGTGGAGGCACAAGTGGGTTTCCCAAGGGAAGGGGCCCCAGGATGAGGCAGTGCACCTTGGGCAGGGCAGGGGATGGGTGCTGACCTCTTCACTTCTGTGTGAGTCTCAGGAGCATTTATTCATTGGCAGTGGCCACGGGTGTGGGGAGAGGAAAGGGGACGGGCTCTGCCTCGGGGCTCAGAGGGGCTCAGCACCAGGCCCTCAGCCACAAGCAAGGGACTGCATCTGGCTTTGCTTGTGGGCTGTGCCCAGAGTGGCTTTGCCCGCTGGCTGCTGGGTGCTCGCTGCCTGGTATCGCCTGTGCATCCCCGTGTCGCCGTATGTCCCTTTGTCCCTGTGCGTCCCTGTGTCCCTGCGCTGTCCCGGCTGCTCGGTGGCCTGTGGGTGGTGGGAGCGGTTAGAGGGGAGGAAGAGGAGGGAAGGTCCCCGGCTCCTTCCTCTGGGGTCCTACTCACCCCTTGTCCTGCCTGACAGTGTCCCTGCTGCACTGGCTGAGCTGGGACCACAGCTGGCTCTGTGGGATGAGCTGCGGAAGGGAAGAGAAGGGGTGAAAATACCCCACCATGTTCAGCTCCAGTGGGGCTGATGGAGAGGAGGGACATGGAGCTGCTGATGGGAGATTGAGATGAGCTCTTAGGCAGAAGCTCTTCCCTGTGAGGGTGCTGAGGCGCTGGCACAGGGTGCCCAGAGAAGCTGTGGCTGCCCCATCCCTGGCAGTGTTCAAGGCCAGGTTGGACACAGGGGCTTGGAGCAAGCTGCTCTAGTGGAAGGGGTCCCTGCCCGTGGCAGGGGTTGGAGCTGAAGGAGCTTTAAGGTCCCTTCCATCACAAACCACGCTTGGATTCTGGGATTGGTCTTTTGCTACCCAGAGCTTTTCCTGCATGGGCAGTCCCCAGAGGATGGGGACAGCGCCATGGCCTATGGGGTGGTGCTGGGCTTTACACCCTCTCCTCATGGCACCAACTCACCCTGGCTGGTGCATCCTCACCTTCAGCACTCCCTCCTGGGCAGCCACGTTCACCTTGCCCAGCGCAGTGCTGAGCCGCGCGTTCTCCTGCTCCAGCACCCCGATCCGGATGCTGTTGGCCTGGAGCTGCCTCTTCATGTCCTCGGTCAAGCTCCCGGTGCCTGCAACCGAAACAGAGCATTCTTGTGCTGTGAGACCGAGCTCAGGCTGCAGCTCTCCTCCCCCCTGAGCACCCGCACGGCTGAACCCATGCAGGCAAACAAAGCCCTGTCCATGCCCTGGCCCAGCTTCATCTCCCAGCCTGGAGGTGGGATCAGCAGTTCCTGTGCTGGAAAGCGTGTCAAGATGGGCTTAGCACAGCGCAGGGCTGAGCCCTGCTTGGCTGTGAATGGCACAGAGGGTGTTGTACAGATAATCCTGATCCCTGTGAGCCTGGGCACAGGCTGAGGGCAGGAGCCTGCTCCCTTACTCTCAAACTGTGCCTCAGTGGGGACATGGAGCTCAGGGAAGAAGACCAGGAGCCGCTCCCGCTCCTGCAGCTCCCGCGCCTGCTCCTGCAGCCTGGACACGTTCTCCTGCAGCTCCGAGACAGCCCGTTCCAGGCCCAGCTTCTCCTGCTGCAGCGTGTCCAGCAGCTCCTGGGTGGTACAAAAGGGGTGCTGAGGTTTGCAGAGAGCTCTCCTGAACCGCGGGATGGTGCAGCATGGGGGAGTCCTGTGGGAGCACTTGGATCCCCAGGGAAAGCATCCTCCTTTCCTTAGGTGGTAAGGATGCCCCATGATGGTGGGAAGTGGGCAGGGATTTAGCTGCAAGGTCCCTGTGTGAGCTGGAAGCAGCAGCACCAGCCATGAAGAACAGTGCACATCCAGGAACAGGCATGCTGGAGACATGGGAGCAGCCCGAGGAGCCACTTCCCTCTGCTCCCTGGCCACGGAGAAGCCCAGTGGAGACTTCCCTGCACGAGGCTGAGGGATCTCTGGGAGGAGACGGCCCTCACGTCATCCCCTGTCCCACATTCATCCTGCTGGGAAAGCTGTGCCCATGCATGCGGGAAGGGGCAGGGGATGGCTCTGGACACCCTCCCGAGGCACAGGGGTCCCTAGGGCAGCCCCCGGGGGTGCTGGGTGCCATCCCTGACCTGCTGCTGTCTGTGCTGCTCCCGGCTCTCCTGGAGCTGCTCCTGCAGCCGGGCCTTGTCCTCCTCGGCCTCCCCCAGGCTGAGCTGCAGCTCCTCCCTCTCCTGGTCCAGGCTGTCGAGCTGCTGCAGCAGCGTCCTCTGCTTGGCCTGCAGGGACTGCAGGGGCAAGAGCCTGCTCCGGGGCTGCTGCTGCACCCACACGGTGCTGGGCAACAGCACCCAGGGGCTCAGCCCACTGCCAGGGCAAGGGGGAGCTGGACTGGTACCTCCTGGTGCCTCTCCATGCTCTCCACTTTGGCCCTCTCCTTCTGCAGCTGCGTGGTGGTGGTGCCCAGCTCCTGGCCCAGGCTCTCGTGCTGGCTGCTGAGCAGCTGCAACTTCTCCTCCAGCGCCAGCACCTGGCTCCTGGCCACCATTGTGGTCCTCATCTCCTCCAGCAAGGTGGCCTTGGCCGTCTCTGGGGACACACAGCACCTTCACTGGCCAAAGATGGGTCAGTGCCCCATCCCTGGCAGTGTTCAAGGCCAGGTTGGACACAGGGGCTTGGAGCAAGCTGCTCTAGTGGGAGGGGTCCCTGCCTGTGGCAGGGGTTGGGGCTGGATCGGAACTTTAAGGTCCCTTCAACCCAAACCAGGCTGGGATTCTATGCCCTTTGGTGCAGTCTGGGTGGGATAAGCTCCAGGACAAGGTGTCCTCAGGGGCCCAGAGCCTCCACAGGCCCTGGCAGGGGGTGGGATACATGAGCTGTGTGCCCCTGGGGTCCTTACCCAGCTCCTGCACAGCTGCCTGCTTCCCAGCCAGCTCCTCCTTCAGGGTGGAGACTTGTTCCTCCAGCAGAGCCACTCCTAAAGCAGCACAAGGCTTCAGCAATGGAACAGCTCCTCAAACCCCTCAGACCAAGCAGGGGACACTGGGAACGCCACTGTACCTCTCTGTAGGTCGTCCTTGGCCTGCTCCAGCCTGCCTACAGCCTCTAAATGCTCTTTGTTCTTTGCTTCCAGGCTCTGCTGAGCCTCCTTCTGCTGCTGCACATGGGTGTCCTTCTCTACCTGCAGCAGCCAGGCCATGTCCTCAACCTGCCTCTGCAGCTTCTCCTTCTGCTTCTCTGACTCCTGCAGCTCAGCCTGCAGCGGCTGGACCTGCTGCAGCAGCATCTGGAGATGTTTGCTGATCCGGGACAGGTCCTTGCTCTGCTCCGAGGCCCAGTACCTCACATCTGTGGCAGAGAGGGTCCTGCTCCCTGCCGTGTCCCCCACCGCCTCCTGGAACCTGCTGAGGGCCGAGGGGATGTTCTGGCTCTGGCAGATGCTGGTGATGGCTTTGCCCACCTCGTGGAGGCAGCCCTGGATGCTGGTGCAGGTGGCACAGAGTCCCAGGGATGCCCCAGGTGGCTGCATGGGGACGCTGTTGGCAGGCCTGGGCAGGGAACTGCCCGAGGCACCACTGGCTAGTGGGAGCACAGTGGACGGCAGGCACAGGGAAGTGGATGGGGCAATATCTTGAGAAGATCTTGGCTCCAGAACACTGGACAAGCAGTGTTTCAGGGGCTCGTTCTCAGGGGTCCCAGCCTGGGGACTGGAGGGCAGTGCAGGGCTCTCCTTCCTGGAAGCCTTCTTCTGGGGGAGAGAGCACAGAACAAAGCCAGGGCTCAGATCAAACCATGTTGGCTGCAGGTGATCCATAAGAGCCCAGATACAGAGGAGTGAAGTGTAGGGAGAGGGCATCAGTGCAGCCAAGGGGCACTGAGCCCAGAGCTTGCAGGAGGACAGCACCAAGCACTTCTGTTCACTGCCTGCAGTGCTCCATCACAACCAAAGCATGTGGATAAGGGGCAAAATGGATTTACTTCCCCCTCCCAGATGCAGGATGAGGGTGAAATTGGGGATTTACATTTTCCCAGCTGCCAGGCAGCTTCCCAGCCTTGGCAGAGCTGTGGTGTCACAGCAGGGAGCTCAGCAATGAAACCTGCTCCCCTTCTTAAGACTGGCCCTTCTGTCACACCTCTGACCATGCCAGAGGAATGACTGTGAGGCTTTTCCATGAGCAGAATCCCAGTTCGGTGGTTAGAGGAGGGAGGGGACGGTGTGGGACAGATGTGGTTTGACACATGGGTCAGTGCTCACAGGCATCCCAGAGGAGGACTTCAGAGCAGTCCCAGTCATGGAGGGGGGTGCAAGAGCCATTTCTGTGACCCTGTGCTCAGCTCGGGGGGTGTCAGGGCCCACACATGTCCCACCTCAGCCAGAAGCTGCTGGTAGAAGGCTCCCAGTTTGAGCATGCAGCACCAGTACCTCCTCACGGTCAGCCCCGCAGACATGC